AAGAGTGTTTTGAGGGACTCTGAGTCCACACTGAAATAAATACACATGTGAATTTATGCTAGCTTAGATTTCTGCAGAGTTGCTGGAGAAAAGGTTTTCAAATTTGCTACATCACTAACTGAGCATAACTGAGAACTCCAGAATAGTTTATTGATGAAAAAGCTGGTACAACACACACTTCAATAAAACTAGCTTCTCACCAGCTTACAACTCCGGTCTTAAAATGGAGACGTTTCATGGGTATTAAGAGTTCCTCGCTGGTAACAGCAAATGGAAGTTGTCATTAGAAGTCAGATGACACCTAGTGGCAAACCAGGAGATGCGATGGGGTGGAAATTTCACCTCTCTTCGGAACATGGATTACCTCTTCTCTTCTGGTAAGCCAATCTGAATTCCTCTCCAAGCATGTTAATGTCATCTTCGTTTTTGAAGACTCCCTGCAATCAGGAGAAAGAAACACGTCAGAAATACTGATATTGAGCAACTTAAGAAATGATGTTTTGGGCGAGGGAAGAAGGGGAACCCATATATCTAAGTCTCTAATTCTAAATTAAGGCTAAAAACGTGTATAACCCACAGAACAGATCCTGCAGCATTTAGAAAAAATAAATTACAAATTGCATTTGTATTGGAGACTTCACAACTAGGTAGTGCTTTTCTGTTCAGCCATTTTGAGTTAAGTGACAGGACAGCTGACCAGGATATTCAGACACTGTGTTGAGACAGAGAAAAGAACAAAGTAGCACTTTGATACCAAGGAACAGGTCTGAGCCTTGGGCACCCTGAAACAGAGAACCTTTACTACAATAATAAATTCAAACCCAAAAATTGTATAAAATTATTGCCAGTTTGAGTGATCTTTTAATTAAATCCACATTAGAAAAACTCACTCCAAATGTTACAAATTCATTCACCAAATTAGTGTATTAATATCTGAATAAAAAGCAATACTCTACTGTATTTACAATGTTTTCCAGTATTGCAAAAAAGTAATGTATTTAAATAGTTGTAGGATTCCCTCCCTACTGTAAATGCATTTTTACATCCCTAAAGCAGCTTTCTTCATTTGTGTAACATCAGGTGATCTTCCTGACTATGAAGAATAATACTAAATAAATTGTTCTTTATTCCCATTACACTAATTCCTTCCATCTTCTTAACTTTTGAAAACCCAAGGATGAGCAGAGGGAGCTTTGCAGTACATCTGTAAGCACTGCAGCTTAGTGCACTGCAACAGAGGAGGCCTTGTTTCCATGGTGAAGACTCAGAAGACAGCCAACATTGTAAGAAATTGCTCCCAAAACCCCAGCTGGGAAATTTGGTGGAAACAGGGTTTAAGATATGGTGGAGCCCTTCCAAAAGTCCTGCTTTAGAACTTAACATTCCATATCCTGACAACCAGATGAGCCAAGTGCTGTGGAAGCTTTCAGCAAGTTCTGTGCAAGGCATTGATCTGGCAGCAGAGCCCAAAGCCTCTCATACAGAAAGAATACTTTTGTAAATTGCTTCCCAGCTCAAAAAGAAAAATGGAAAAGGTGAGCACAGAAGAGCTGACACAATAAGGACACCCAACGACTTTAGGAATTTACACAGGTCTGCTACTTCCAACTGTCCAAAACTGATTTGCAGGACAAAGATTGAAAACATTTAAATACAATTCACTTACTGGAGGAAGATAGCCCAGTAGTTTAGATGCGTGTTCCTTCAGGAGCTTCTGTCTCTCCTCCTCAACAACTGCCCGGATGTTTTCTTGTCTTCTCTCCTCTAACCGCCTTTCTTCAAGTTCACGCTCCTGCAAGAAATAAGTAACATTTTGTAACTTTTCAGGGAACGTGCTCTCTGAACATTTGTTTGCACCAGTACCCACCACAGAATAAAGAGGGTTTTTTTTTTGTTGGGTTGGGTTTTTTTTTGGAACTTCAGCTTATTAACTCCTGGTCAAGGGAAATCAATTTGAAAAGGATGGAAAAGCACATGTAAAATTCGCAAAGCACTGTTCAAACAAGACATGTTTGGGAACTAGAAAAAAATCTCAGACAAAAGTGAAGACAGAAGGCAGGGTGTGGTGCAGGTCTGCTGGGTGTTTTGTCTCCGACAGGTCAGTGAAGCTGTGCTTCCTTGTTGGCTCTCAGACCAGGCAGTCTGTGCCCAACTGTGCTAATCCAGGGAAAGGAGAAACAGGACAATCAGTGTTCTCCTGCTGATGACTAGAAACTGCAATTCATGTTACACGTGGTTTATAAACAGGTCCAAAAACTGCAGTATGGAATTCCATGGTTTGTTTTCAATTTACACCTTTTCTTATTGAGATGATAAAGAGACTTAATCAGAAACCAAGCGGCAAACCAAAACAAAGGCCTGCTTGCCTGCTGCACATGGCTCTGCAATTGCCCTGTCACCTTTTCCCTGCTAACACAAAAGTGTTCTCATTGGAACATTCTGGCTAAACCAAAAAGTGAAGG